CTGGGAAATACTTGAGAAGCTGCTGACCAGCTTTTCCCTTTTACAGCGGTTCACCCCTTCAGCAGCGGCACGCTGGGGGGACGACTGAGAATCACGGAGACATTAGAACGCTCTGTGTTGCGCTGACGCTCGCTGGACTCGGGCCTCGCTCCGGCGGCGCGGTGTGGGGCCGTAGCGGCGCCTCGCTGCCCTTCGGTGGGGTCCCGCAGGGGAGGGTCCCAGGGATGGGGGACGGGGGGGTGCCCCCCCCCCGGAGCTGGTGGCTGCCCCGGCGGAGGGGAGGGTTGGCTTGCGCCGGGGCTGTTGCGCGGCTCGTCCTTGTCCCTTGGCTGGCGCGACCCAACGCCGGGAGCGGCGCTGGCCGGGAAGCGCCGGCGCGTTGGCGCTTGGCTCGGGGCTGAAATCCCGCTGTTTGCCCCCCCCTCCCCCCCCCCCCCCCCGGAGCTGGGGCCGGGGGGAGCCGGGCGGGAGCTGCCCCCCAGCCCTCCCCACGCAGCCGCGGCTTTGCCCGGAGCCGGACCCCGATCCGGAGGCGGCGGCCGAGCTGGGCTCTGCCCGGGCGCGCTGCGCTGCGCTGCGCTGCGGAGGAGGGACCCGGCGGCTGCGCTGGGGGGGCCGGAGCCGCCCAGGCCCCCGCGGCGCTCGGTGCGGACGGACGGACGGACGGACGACGCGTGGCCTCCCCCACCCCGCTTTGCAGATATTTCGGCAGCGCCCGCGGGGGGGGTTGACTTTTCCGGGTGGTTTCCAGTTTGGCTGAGGACGTAACGTGTGGGCTTGGACCGTGAGATGGAAGAGAACAGACGAGACCTTGTGGTGCAACAATTCTTGGGATTTCAAGGAAGCAAATTATTTCTTCTACCAGCCTTGTTGGTAATTTAAAGAGCAGATTTAGAAGCGAGTAATATTACTTCCATTTGCTTGCTGTGCCTGAAGTATTTTTCATGTATTTTTATAAATTCTCGAAGCATCAGCTCTCTCCTCTGCTTGCAGAAGGCTCTGCCCAGTAAAAGAAAAGGCAGTTGTGTTTGCGAGGTGGCCGGGCAGGGCGCGGGTTTGTGTGGCCTTGGCTCGTTATTCCCTTCCTCCGCTCTTCTTCTTCAGTTGTTCATGAGTATTTCTAAATTCCCTTCAAACCTGTTTTTCTCAGAGCTTTTGGGTTTGCGTATAACTTGTTGATTGGTAGGTGTGCGCCTTCTGAAACAGCTTATTCATTGGTACAAATGCAAAAATTCAAAGGTACTGGCACGCGGAGGGAAGTTTCTGGAAGGGCAGGATCCGCTGGGGACTCGCTTCCACTGGGCTGAGGTGTGGGAATGGAATGACTCGTTGGGGGGTTTTCAGTTCAAGGTAAAATTCTATTTTATACTTGTTGCCATTTTCTCTAGGTAGGTAAAGCTGTGTTTCCAGACTTTAAAAAAAAAAAAAAAAAAAGTGCTCCAGGGTGTTTTTCATTTTGGCATTTTTCTCAGCGAGGCTCATGGAAAAGAAGGTCGTTGATTTTTAACTTTTGTTCCTTGTCTGTTTCTGTCTTTGCCTTTTGTATCCAAACCGGGTTTTGACAGCGTTTAAAATTTAGATGAGCAGCTTCAGTTGAAATGTAAAGTTTTATAGAAACCTTTTTCTTGATCTGATATTTTGTAAACCTTTTCTTTAACAGAGCCCAAGTACTGGCACTAGATCAGTTTGGCAGTGCTTAAGACATTGTCTCATACATGTATGTGCGTGGGTGTACATGTACACATGCATACATATATGTATCTACATGGAGTGGGTAATTGTATTATTGCACATTAAAATATCCGTGGTTCTAATGATATTTTTTACTGTAGGGTGTATCTGCTCAGACAAACAGAAACTTCCTTTTTAGGCTCTGATATTCCTAACTCAACAGGACACCATCGTTTAACCCGTTAATTTGCACTTAGCATATTTAAAGCAATCAGGATATTAAATATTCTTTGCCACCTCCTCTTGGTCCACGGTCTGTTGAATTGGAGCTTCTGGAGTCGCTTCTCTGGGGCTTTTCCGTAACCTCCATCGGTTTCGTTTCTGTTTGGCGTTAGGCTGCAGTTTAGACTCGAGGTGATTGGAAACGTTTGGCTTTTTGACTGTTAGCACAAACCACTTATTTAAGGCCTGTCCACCCTAGAAAATCCACCAGTTGCCACCTTAGGCTAAAGGACCCGAAATGCTTGTTTAAACTAAAAATAAACCAAAACAGTCATGGGGCTTTTTTTTTTTTGTTTTTTGTTTTTTTTTTTTTTTTTTTAAGTGTATTCCTCATCCCCAGGAGAAGTGGGAGGCTGTAGCGGTGGCGGCGGTGCCGGGCGGACCCGGGGAGCCGGCAGGTTCCTCCGGGCCCCTGCGAGGGGAGCGGAGCGGAGCTCCGGCTGGGGGGGGTGCGGGACGGTCCCGGGCGGCCGTGCCCCCCGCCTGCGCTTCGCTCTTCGCTGCAGCCGCTCGGTTTGGGAGAGGAGCGTGGAGACGGCCACCTCTGCAGTCCCCGTCTCACAGCCCAGCCGGAGCTGAAGTGCGGGACGTGGGGCGAAACCTGCCCGGCCCCCCGGGAACAGCAGATCCTTTGAGTCCCCTGGTGGGAGCTGGGGGAGGCACCGCGGCCGCGGGCAGGCTGGGGATGGGGCGTTGGGGTGTTTGAGAGCTGGATTTTGCAGCTCTCGGTGCCCAGACGTGCGCGCAGCTTTTCAGCCTAGCGCCGCCCCTGCTTCGCTCTGCCCGTCTGCAAATGCAGTCGGTCCGTGTCGGTGTCCCGAGAGCCGAGTTTCCCTGGAAATCTGCTGATGAGCTGTTGAGCGGTCGGGAAGTCCAGCTGCTGCTGCTTCCCCGGGGAGCGGCTTGGAAAAAGCGAGCGTTAGGGGCTGGTCTATGCCTTTTCCAAAAACCCAAGCCGTAAGACGGCGGCTGATAGGTAAGGTGCACTCCGTATAGCAATAAGAAACACTTGCCTGCACAGACGGTGTCGTGGGGCTGTCGCAGCGGCCGCGCCGGTAGCGCCGGTGGGTGAGAGCGCGGCGGGTGTGGGGAGGGTCCTGGCTGAGCCCGGGCCCGGGGCAACGCGGAAATCCCGTTTAGCTTCACGTGGCCTTTCCTCTAAACCGGGAAGGGGTGGCAAAGGGGGGTGCCCACCTGGGTTAATTAATTTAGTGCAATGACATAGGGGAGCCTTTTTTCTCATGATGCCTACTGCCCTTAAATGTTGAAACCGGGTCTTTGTAAGCAATGTCTGTGTATCTATGTGTATATATGAGGGACAAATTTTAAATTACTGCCTTTTTTCCCTGTTTATTTTTCTGAGTAATTCCAGATGTACTTTAGTCTCTCTACTGTCAAAACTTTTATATTGTAAATCTGATGCTGGTGGCTTTTGGTTATTTTGGTTTTTGTTTTTGTAAAAAAGAAAAAAAAAAAAAGAAAAGAAAAAAAAGAAAAAAGAAAAAAAAAAAAAAGTCTGCATCTCTCTATGTTGTCAGTTTAGGCTGTAAATTCCAACTATCAATAAAAGCTCAAAATTCACGTGCCAGTGGTGGATTCCTCCATCCTGCAGGACACGATCAGCCCCCTCCGCGCTGCATCCTGGGGGGGCTTCGCTCTCCGGCAGGGACTGGGCGCAGGAACAGGCAGGGACTGGGCACGGGCAGCAGCACGGGGGGCGCAGCCCCCAGAAACCAGCGGCTTCCTTCCCCCCCCACACTCCCGGGAGGGCGCAGGGGGAGCAGCGGGGGCCGGGGTGGATTCCTGCGGAGGTCCGGTTTACTGGATTTCAAGTCCTCGGGTGCTGTCGTGGGGGGCAGGAGGCAGCAGTGGCCTCCCCGCCGCCCCGGATGGTGCTTTCACCCCGGTTTAGTCGTTGCCCGGGCTGGGCGCGTGAGCCTGCAACCCACAGGATTTGGCCATCGGCAGCTTTGCCGGATGTTTGCATCTGTACGTAGCCGGTCCCTTTTCAGTGCAGCTGACGTGATTCAGTGTAAGCAATTCTCCGTTCTGTGGCTTCTTGTGCCAAAATCCTCAAGTCTTCACCCTGAAGAAAGGTGCTGGTTTTGCAGCTAAAGGCGGTGACGGCACTCAGCACCGGGGTGGATCCGGGCCGGCATCCCGTGCCCCCCCGAGCCGTGGGCAGGCCTGACCCATGGCCCCGGCAGCCGCTTGGGCCATGGTGACTGTTCAGGACTTTGTGATGAAGCTGAAGCCACGGGACCACCTCTCGCACCCCGTAATTTTTCCGGGGGTCCCTGGCTGGGTGCGGCAGCCTGAAGCAGCTTTGGGCCAGCTGCACGAAGTCACCGCTCTGCGCTCGCCGCGGCACTGCTGGTCGGGGAGGGGGGGGCCCAGACGCAGGCTGGGGGGTGCCAACCAGCACCCGTGGGTTTAGGTTTCTTCCCACCTCTACCAGCATTTCCCTCCCGTGCTGCAGAGCGAGGCGGGATCGTGGGCAGCAGCTCCCTGCGGCCGCCCTGCCGAGCCCGTCCCTGCGCTGCTGGGACAGCGGTTTGCTCAGGGGGACGCGCACAGGGGGGGGTGGAGCTGGGGCAAGGGCCCCCCCCGCCCTCCACAGTGCAGACTGATGCGCAACCCCCACTTTTTCTCTGGGAGGGCTCCTGCTGCCCGACCGGAGCCCAGGCAGGGCCTAAATCACCCGGGGAAAGCAGCACAGCTGAGCCTGGGCGACGACGACACTGGGCTCAGCACCCGCCGCGTCCCTGGGAGAGTGAAACGTGACAGAGCGCGTGGGAGGGGGTAGGACAGGGAAGGGCGAAGGTCCTTGTTCGCCCTGGGGGGCTGCAGGGACCAGCGCAGCCTCTGCTCGGGCACAGCCCCAGCGAGGCTCCAGCAGCTCTCCATGAGGCTCCGTCCCCCCCAAGCTGGGGCCAGCCCAGTCCCCCGGGACAGGAGCCGAGCCCAGGTCCTGCGGTTCCTGCAGCGCTGGCCCCGTGCCCGAGGGGGCAGCTGATGTTGGTGGCAGTGAGGCAAAAGGGCCTCTGTCATATTAATTTTTTTATTAAATTCAGTTAGTTTTCTCTTTATATAATAACCTTTTTCCTCTAGGCACAATACAATACAAGGACTCTGTATGTTTGACACAATGTACAGAAACTTCAATAATCTACAACTGCTCAGGTAAGTTACAAAAACCTCCATGTTACACCAGCTACCTGCCACAGCCATTATTGTACAGTAAAACAAAGAGGGGAACCTGGGGGTTAAGACTGTACAAAGACCTCTGCACTGAAATAAAACATTGTACTCCTTTAAAAACAAGACAGGTAGAAGAGCTTGGCCGAGCGTGCGGGGGGCCAGCGCGGTGGCTCTGCCGGGTGGGGGGGGCTGGGGGGGGGCCGGGTCCCGTCCAGCAGCCAGACGGCAGCGGGTCCCGAGCGACCCCCACAACGCCTCTTTGGGCTTCCCGGCGAGCGACCCTCGGGGGGAGCGGGGGCAGAACCCCCTCCCCACGGTCACGCAGTGCAGGGGATGGGCGAGGTGCTGCAGGATCCGTTTCTGTACCGAGATTTTCCCCCTTTGCACTGACGCTGTGACAGCAACACGCGGGGAGGCGGCAGCGGGCGGTGGGACAGGCAGCCCCCCACCCCCACCCCCCCCCAAAACTGCGCCGCTGCGGGGCCGAGCCCCCTCGGGCAGGACACAAGCGTGGGGGGCCGGGGGGGGGCGTGGGGAGGGGAAGAGCCCTGAGGCCGTAGGGAGGAGAGGGCAGCGCTGTGCGGTGCCCCCCGAGGTGCTGCCCCCCCCTCCCGCAGGCGAGCTCGGGGTGGGGGGGGGGGGTGACCTGTGCAAAGAGAGCGGGTGGCACCTGCCAGCACCGCTGCGCCCGGCCGCGTCCCAGCCCCGGCGTCGCTGCCGGCGGGGACCCTCGTCCCCCCACGCGAGGGGACAGAGGGGACGGCCCCAGGGCACCGAGGGCTGCAGCATTTGGCACCTCCCGTGGGGAACGTGTGTATCCCACCCCCCCCCGGACAGCGAGCCTGGCTGTGGAGGCAGAGGCTGTGCCCCCGCCAGGACAGGGAGCCCCTCTGTCACCCCCCCGCCAGGAGCAGAGCGGCCACAGCCACGGCCCCTCCTCACACCCGGAGGCGGCGCCTGCGGCGACAACCGGCACCATCCCCGGGGAACCGGCAGCTCGCGGGTTCCTGTGCGAGGCCGGGGCAGGCGAGGCGCCAGGGCCGGGACGCTCTGCCCGGGGGATGCCGGCCGGGGCAGGATGGTCCCAGCGCTGGGGCGAGCCCCCCCACCCCACCCCCCCCCCCGCGCCCAGCGGCACCCGGAGCTGCGGGTCCCCGGTTCCAGCAGGGCGGGAGCGGAGCTCAAGGCTCCCGCCGAGGCCAGCGGCGCCGGGGGGGGAGCAGGGCCGGTTCTCCCCGGGGGATGCTCTGGCAGACATGCAAGCCGCGGGGAGGAGGAGGCAGGCAGGCAGCCCCCGCTTTCTGCAGCAGCGCGGGGCGGGGTGGAGGCGAGGCGCACACCCCCCCCCCCCACCAGCTGCAGCAGAGAGAGGGGGGCCGCCCAGCGCGGGGGGAGCACAGAGGGGGGGACACTAATTACAGGGCTCAGACAGGCCTGGGAGGACGGGTCAGGCTCCCGCCCGCACCCCCAGCCTGCTTCAACGCGAAGAGTTCCTCCACTACACAGTCCTACCACCGGGTCTCGTCCCGATCCCGCCCCGCCGCCGCCCGGGACAGCACACCCGCGGCGGAGGGGGGAGGAAGGCCATCTCCTCCTCCTCCTCCTCATCAGTCACAGCCCCGGCTCGGACGCGAGCCCGGGCGCTGCCTCTGCGCCACGTGCCGGGGCCCGGGAGACTCCGCGCCTGGAACAGCAGCTCCTCTGAGCCAGCCTCACGCGTCCGACAAGCAGCTCTGGATGCGGTCGATCCACTGCTGGGCTAGCTGCACGTCCTGGGCGCAGAAATTGTAAACTCGTTTCGTCGTCTTCAGCTGCAGGGGAGGAGAGAGGAGGTGAGCGGGGCCGGGGCGGCGGCGCCGGGGGGGCTGCCGCGCTCCTGCCCCGGGGCCACACTCACATCGAAGAAGGCTTTCTCGTCCACCGTCTTGGGGGCCCCCATGGTGGGGGCTCCTGGGGTGATGGACTCCACCTCGGCCAGGTCGATGACGCCTTTGCACTCCGTGTCCATGCGGCTGTCGTAGTAGCGCAGCTGCGGGGCGAGACCCCGCGCAGGTCAGCGCCGCGGGGAGGGACGGGGGGGTGGCAGGACGGACCCCGGGGATCCCCCGCCCCTCGCTACCTGATGCTTGGTTTTATCCAGCACGAACCAGCGAGGCTTCCAGGGTTTCATGAAGGCTCCTTTCTTGTACAGCGACCCCTCGTAGGACCTGCAGGGGCCCAGGGGTCAGCAGGGACGAGAAGCGACGGGGGTCCGCGCTCTGCAGGACGCACACGCCTTCCCCCCTCCCAGCGCGGCCGGCGGCCCCCGGCCCCCCACCCCGAGCCCCCCCCGCCTGCCTGTTCTCGCTCTCCGACATCTGGAACTGGCTGTAGAGCGTGCTGGTGCTCTTGCGGCCGCCCTGCTTCCCGCTGGAGGGGGTGGAGGTGCTGCTGGTGTCGCTGTCGAGGCTGAGGTTGAGGGTCGAGCCCACGCCGCTCTCCTGCAGGTACACGCCCAGCGAGCGCCGGTGGTGGGAGAGGCCGGAGGACATCAGCAGGGAGCTGGGGGTCTGCGGGGAGCGGAGGGCACAGCGTGAGGGGGGGGGGGATGGCCCCGCGCCCAGCCCGGGGGCTGAGCACCGGCACCCCCTCCCCGGCCCCCGGGGGCAGGAGCAAACACCCGCTTTGCCCGGGGCACGTGTGGGCAAAGCCACCCCCCCCCCCCCCCCGGCCCCCCAGCCTACCCGGCTGCCCTCCTGCCGCGCCTCGGTGCGCTGCGAAGCTTTGACCTTGTCCCACGTGTCCTTCCAGCGCTCCGGGACCTGCCCCAGCTCCAGCTCCAGGTTGTGCAGCTCCTGGCGGGGTGGGATTCAGGCATCAGCCCAGGAGGGGACGAGCCCCCGGGGACCACTGTCCCTTGTCCAGGTGGGGGGTGTCAACCATCTCCAGCCCTGCCCGAGCCCCTGGGGACCACTGTCCCTTGTCCTGGGGGGGGGGGGTGACAACCACCTCCAACCCTGCTCAAGCCCCTGGGGACCACTGTCCCTTGTCCTGGGGGGGGGGGGGGGTGTCAACCACCTCCAGCCCTGCCCGAGCCCCTGGGGACCACTGTCCCTTGTCCTGGGGGGGGGGGGGTGTCAACCACCTCCAACCCTGCCCGAGCCCCTGGGGACCACTGTCCCTTGTCCTGGGGGGGGGGGGGGTGTCAACCACCTCCAGCCCTGCCCGAGCCCCTGGGGACCACTGTCCCTTGTCCTGGGAGGGGTGTCAACCACCTCCAACCCTGCCCGAGCCCCTGGGGACCAATGTCCCTTGTCCTGGGGGGGGTGTCAACCACCTCCAACCCTGCCCGAGCCCCTGGGGACCACTGTCCCTTGTCCGGGGGGGGGGGCCCACCATCTCCAACCCTGCCCCGTCCCAGAAGCGAGGGGTGGGCGATGGGGCCCCCGCCCGCGCTCACCTCCAGCAGTTTGGAGATGGCGTCGGGCTCCACGCGGCTGCGGTTGTCGTAGCACGGCCAGATGATCTTGCGCTTCGTCTGGGGGGCACCGGTGTCCTGCCGATCCGCCTCCTCCACGTGCTCCGGCTGCCCCTGCGCCAGCTCCCAGTCATAGGAGGGGCCCTCGGAAAGCGTCTCCTCCGTGTAGTAGTCCCACACCTTCAGGTTGGAAATGTTGCTGTACGGCCTCAGCACCTGCGGAAGAAGCGGGGTTCTGCTCAGGAAGGGCAGCAGCGTCCTGGCTGGATGCGTCCCTGGCCACGCCGCAGGGACCGCCTGTCCAGGGGGGAAATCAGCCCCCTCACAACGAGCTCTCCCCCAAGGGCGAAGCTTCCTGACGGGTAACAGGAGGCAGCTGAGGGTGGAAGGCTGCGGGCTGCTCAGGAAAAGGCAGTGCTGGGCCAGAGGAAGGCGGAGCTGGTTCCAGCTTTGGCCAAGACCTTGCCCGGCCCAAAGGAGAGCTCTGAGCAGCGCGGGCAGAGAGCAGTCCCCGCGCTGCCAACCTGCGGCTTCTCGTCCCCGAGGGAGGACACTCCCAGCTCGTGGGGCCCAAAGCGAGACCCCGGCGACTCGGGATCTGCCCCTCTGCAGCCTCACCTGCATCCCCCCACCACAACAGCTCTGCGGGGACACAGCTCACGGCAGAACCCTCCCCAGCGTCCCGGCGCGGCGGCCGGGCAAGACCACTCGGGTGGGTCCAGCTAAGGGGCTGCTGGCTTGGCTCCACGCACCTCCCCATCCTCGGGGGCATACATGTAGTTGAAGAAGATGGGGGCTTTCTTGTTCAGCCGGTCGATGTAATCCCAGATGGATTTGTAGACCTGCTGGCTCTTCCGCTCGCCCTTCTCCTCGTAAAGGAGGCCTGTGGGGAGGGGAGCGGGGGGTGTTACGTGGGGCACGGCGCCGGGCTGCCGGCCGCCGCCGGCCCCGCACCCTGCCCTCACCCAGCTCGATGCGCTCGTAGTCGGAGTCCAGCAGGAACGTCCGGAAACGGTTGGAAATGTAGTGGTAGCTGAGGAACTTCAGGTAGTACTGGCTGAACTCGAACTCCATGGGGAACTGCAGGTGGATCTGGACGGGGCGGCACCGGGTTGAGACCTCCCGGCGACCCACGGAGCGCGGGCTCCGGGGTCTCCCCCCGGGCTCACCTGGTGCACGCAGTCCAGGAACTGGAGGAAGATGGGGGCGAACCCGCTGCTCTGGCCGGCCAGGGTCTGTGCCCCGCGGTGGCTGAAGCGGTGCCCGAAGGACAGCCACTCCTTCTCCACCAGCAGGCGGAAACCCTCCAGCGTCCGGTAGTAGGGGTCCGAGAGCAGCTGCACCAAGGAGACCACCTGCAAGGACAAGGGGGGGGGCTCGAGGTTGCCCTTGGGGTGGGGGGATGACAGCCGTGGGCAGCCGCCGCCGCGCCGGGCAGCCCCAGGGCTCCTACCTGCGTGGTGATGTCCCAGCCGTCCTCCAGGCTCACCAGCACAGAGGAGCCCGTGTCCAGGAGCTCCACCACCAGCACCGCGATCTGCAGGATCTTGTGGATCTGCCAGCGTACGGGCCAAGAGTTACCAGGGTGCAGGAAAGCTGGCTGCCGGGCGTTGCGCAGCGACCCTTGCTGCTGGGAGCAGGTGAGCCAGCCGAAGCGGAGCAGTGGGGGGGGCACGCAGGGCCACGCTACTCGCTGACCCCCCCCCCTCCGTGTTCAGACACCCTTCTGCCTGCAGCAGCGCGGCCCCGGGGGTTGAACCACCGTGCCGTGGGGCCCCCCCCGTGCCCTCCAGCAGCCTGGGGACCAGCCCGACAGAGCGGCAGCCACCCGGCTGCTGCTGGCACTGCCTTGTCGCAAGCCCTTCAGGGCGCTCCGCCGTCCGGCGGGTCGTGTCCCGCGTCCCCCAGCCGCGCTCGGGACTGTTCTGCCCTCGCTCCCGTAGTGCCCCCCGCTCCAGCCCGCGGTGACGCTCCGGAGAGGGCACCCCGACCCACCTCCCCAGGAGGCAAGAGCACATCTCCTTGCGCCAACAGCAAAGACTCCTATGGTGGGGCTGGACCAGGGCGGCTCCGGGGGGGGGGGTAACTGACCTGGGACAGCCACTCGGACTCCTCCAGGGACCGCAGGTAGGCGACGCTGGGGTCAGTGGAGGGGCAGCCGGGCACGCAGGCCTTCATCAGCTTCTTGAAGCTGGCCTTCACCTGCCGCACGTCGAACACCTCGATGGGCACCACCTCCCAGTGCTGCAGCGGGTCCGGCTTCACCCCCTGAGGGAGGAGGGAGTCAGCGCCGTCCAGAGGGACCCCCAGCAGAGCCCCGGCCCCCCCGGCGGCCGCTGCCGGGCCTCGGGCTCACCTTCAGCTGTGACTTGTCGCCGATGATGTAGAGCGAGGCGCGGTGCTGGCGCAGGAAGCTGGCCTCCGAGGGGGTGCCGTTGTGCTGGGGGCCCAGCAGGTCCTTCCCGGCCAGGCGCGACCCGATCTCCATGTTCAGGGCGTAGCTGCTCATGCGCCCGCTGGCTCGGATGCTGCCCCACTTGCCTGCAAGACGGCCGGCGGTCGGGCTGGGGGTCCCCGGCGGGCTGGCGGGGGCGAGCGGCCGGCCACGGTCACCCCGCAGCCCAGCGCCCGGGGAGCACATGCCGGGAAGGTGCTGGGAACCAGGTTTGCTTTCGCTCCCTCTCCTTGCTGGGCGCTGCAGGGTTTCTTACCCCGGCAGATCCAGAGACCAGCCCCAGCGGCGCCGCGTCCCATCGCCTGCGCGGCCGTGCTCCCGCCCCAGCACCCCCCCAGCACCCCCC